GCTGCTGAAAATTCAGTGAAAATTTGAAAGAAGACGAAAGAAGATTGCGCAACCAATGATAGTCACAGATTGAATGGACAGTGGTTCGTGAGCTGGAAAGCTGGAGAGAGACAGATGAAAAGGGACAGAGAAAAGCTCAAAGGCAGTAAAAATGTCTAGACATGAAATGTCCTTTGCACTATATGGAGATTAACAGAGACAACAGATGTGTTGACTGTCTCCACATGAGGCACAGTGGAGTCCAGCACATTAATGCTGCAGCCAAAACATTTAATGAGATGACAAAGTACACACATACACAAATAAATCACACCTTTGTGCATATAATGATAGATAATGAGCTGCATGCTGCTGTGTTTCACTATCTACATCAGTGATGTGATTAGTTTTGAGGTGGCACTGCCTCCCTTGCCTCCTCAGACAAAACGCGATATGCGATATTAGCAGAAACTGTAAGGTGCAATGATTTCTGCGAAATCTTGGGTTTTTATGAAGTCTCACTCCCTAATGAGCCTACAGTATGTCCTGCCATGGTCAGATCTAATGCCCCCAGACAGGAGATTATGTTCTGATTTCTTCAAAAGCGCACAGCTGAATTTCCATCACAGCTGTTCGCTATGGCACTATTTTTAACTCTAGCCAATTTATGCCGCCACATTAGCATATCAGCCTGCTGGGATCAATAGTTTTCCAGCACAACAGACTAACTACAGATGTAGTTACTGTGATGGAGCTTTTAAAGAGGATCTAGAGATCTAGTAGTCATTCAGACAGGTCTGAATCATTAACAGAGTGAGAATGAGCCAATAAAGTCTCTGAGGTTTGCCTGGTGTCTCTGTTTTGCAGGAGGCTGATGTCTCACTGTTGGACAGTTTAGACAGCTAATCATCTGTACTGGGAATAAGAGAGAAGACTTCATGACCAACATTAAATACAGGCTCATTATGCTTGGCTTAGACTGCACACACATATACACACAGTAATTGTCTTTTTTCCCCAAAGCATCTGATCAGTGGGGTGAATCGGTTAATGTGATGCAGACACACTTGTTCAGTTTCTGTCAAACTCTTTGAATGTGTGTTGTGAGGTGAATCGCTCAACGTACAGCAGAGCTGCAGTTTCATGCAATTCATAATTTCTTTTGTTAAAACAATCTCCTTTCCTACCTAAAGCCCTCATTTAATCAAACACCCACAGCCTGTAATATAATCCCAATATGAACTCTCTATCACACTTTATACACAAACAAAAATCTGTCTAACCTACATTAGCAAAGTGTCAAAGCTGAATGAGTACTGTGTGCCAATATAGTCACCAAACGGAAAGGTAAAATAAAATCAAGATTTAGGCCAGCAGATTTTTCCATTCCTTAAAATCTGTTCATGAAGCCGTCTAATTTGCCTTGCTAAGATTCAACATCTCACATTCTCAAAATTTCACTCTCACCTCTAATAGGATGTGCATTGCTATTCAATACAGCAGTGCACAAATCTGCATAACCAATTCATGGAACACCTGATGGCATCTCTCTAATCAACTATTTCAATTTCTGAAAAGACAGAGAAAGAGAAAAAGACAGACAGGCAGACAGCCAACAATTACTCAGACAAAACAGGAGATTTTTAATAAACCTGCTCCTCTGTCTGTACATGGACGTCTCCAAACTCAAAAACACTCTGATTGTGAACTGCATACCAAGGATCCATATACCTGACATTTAAAGTGCCCCTATTATGCCTTTTCGAATATTACCTTTCATGCAGTGTCTCATGTAGCTGTATGTGAACATAAACTATCTGCAAAGTTGTGAAGCCGAAGTTATTGCCTATCAAAAAAAAAATAAAATAAAATAAAATAAAATAAAAAGTCGGCTCGCAATCGCCTAGCCGAGTCGTCAGGAATTAGAATCTTATACTGTTACGGCTCAACGTCATGAAGTAATACATTTGCATAATGTCTGCCCACGTTCTAAGTTACGTCGCCAACTTGCCCGCCCACAAACAGTAAAATTTCCGTGTGGTTAACATCGTGTCGAGAAGATGCTGTATCCTACGCTGTGAGAGTAAATTTGTTTTATCACATCTTATAATAACCACAAACTTGTTAACACTTGACACTTACCACTGAGAAACGTCCTGCTCCAGTCGTGCTTGCGAATCAGTCTCTTTTCGATCAGCCAGTTCAACCGTTTTTCATCAGACTCCGGCTTGGATTGGTAAGGTACAATCGATACCATCTTTTCTATGTATTGACAAGTCTCCAGGGCTGTAATTCCGTCATGGCAATGGGCGTTTCGTTTCCGACACGCGCTGTACGCGGTAGACCAATCCAGAGCCTTGGACCAATCAGAAAGGACTGCGCCATCTGACCAATCAGTGAGGGCTCACGGAAAGGAGGGGTTTAGAGAGACTGATTCTTTGAACTGCTTTCACACGAGTCGTTTACGAATCATTTAGAAATGAGGTCAAATTAAATCTATTTTTTGAGAAAACTAACATGTTTTTTGACTTTGCATGCATGTAAACCTGTCTTAGGAGACTCATAAAACAATATTAGCAACCTTAAAAATGGCATAATAGGGGCACTTTAAATATGCCAGGGAATCATTGGACAACACTACGTGATTGACAGGCTGACAAATGAAAAAGGTAAGATTCAATGATATTTCAGAATTTTATAAACAATACAATTATAAAAAATATGATAGGCTGATAGACATTGATTTGATTGAATTTTTTCTTTTTCATAGTAAAGCTAAGCTCACTGAAAAAAATGGACATATAAATACCTTAGAACAGTGTTTCTTAACTAAGGGGCCTCAGCAAATGGTTAGGGCTGTCAGTTTAATGCGGTAACAATTAGTTATGAAAAATAACATTATTAAAATATTTTAACCCAGTTAACGCACTGGCCCCGCCCCCAGAACGGTGCGTCATCTTACATTTCATACAGCAGACTAGTGACAAATATGATGCAGGCCAACAACTCTATAAACGCAGTTATGCCCTAAAATTCAAGATATTGGGCCAAAAATGCTCCTGTATGAGTTTGTGTCTCATATTTATATCACACGATAAGTGATATGACACGAGCAGCGAAAGCAATATCACATGAATGCTGTTTGTCCCGAATATAACGATTGCAAATGTGATTTTATACAACAGTTCAGTAAATAAATCAATATTGTGTTATGTTTTAAACACAATATTGTCTGTTTTTGCTCAGTTTTGCCAACAAAAATATTACCTATAAAGCCACAGCTTTTTGTGCATCTCCGAGCAACACAGCGGTGTTTAGTTTCTGAATGAATCCGGGTTTTGAATGAATCGGGTAAATCAAGGATTCAAAGGCCCATTCATAAAGTGAGCGTTTACTGAAATCCTGAATGAATCAGTCATTTGAATGAATGACTCAAAGACATTTACCGTGACCTGCTGGCAGTTTTAGTTTCTAATTTAGAGTATTATTTCATAAAAAAGGGAGGGGGGTATTTAAAGGGATAGTTCACCCCAAAAATTTGATTTGTCATTTAATCAATCCTAAATGACTCACTTTCTTTTGTGGAAGATAAAAGAAGGTATTTTGAATACGGTTTGTAACAAAGCTGTTTTGGTTACCAATGACTTCCATTTTCCATAGTTGTTATGTTAGGCTGTTGTAGCCTAAACGTTTATGTGTAATCCATTTTGAATTTATAAATTTTTTTTTTGAAAGAAGTTGAATCAAATAAAATATTTCTTTCTAAAGTTACTATTTGTAATGTCTACTTAATACTTTCTCATTTAACACAAAAATAGCTTTAATTAATCTTTTGGGGGTATTTTCACAGGCAAATGTAATTTGCGATTAATTCGATTAATTAATCGACACATGATGTAATTAATTAGATTCAAATTTTTAATTTAAACTCTACTGATCATGGATTGGCCGGAGAGAATCGTCACTACCTGCGTCACTGAACTTGCGACACAAACACAAAAGAACCGCTAGATTTAAATCAGCACAGCCAGCGAAGGATCTAACGCAAATGTTTTGAACGAGCGCACCTTTTTTTTTTAACAACCAAAAAGTTTTGTTGTCTGTTGCAGGAGAACAGAAGTTTCAAACGTTGGCAATCTTCCTGATTGAGATACCTGGAGTAAACAAACCTAGCAGCACAGCAAGGGGTGTGGAGCGCGCACACACACACACACACACACACACACACACATGCATCCATCCATTCACAAAGAACATCCAAGTCCATCTAACATCCAAGCCTTTGAATGTGAAATCCCACCACACTCTCACATTGAGTTTCTCACAGGAGAGTTCAAAGTAGTACAGATTTAAAAGGGTTATTGATGTATGATCATGTACAAACACTATGCTTCCAGGCTGAGGTAAAATTATATGTGCGTGTCCTAAAGTGACACAAAGTGCTGTCTGTGTGCTGACCAATGTGGACTAATGCATTGCATTTCTCCCAGTGTAGTGCTTCTCAACCTTTTTGACTCAAAGGACCCTTACTGTCAAACACAATATTAAAAGGGCTAGGCCTATTTCTGCTGTAATTATGACAAAGCTACTTGTTTGAATTTTTTTAAATATAAAACTGATAATAAATGTATTAACCACAATACATTTTTAACTAAAAGCAACATTATTTAACAAATAAATTTCAGTTTACATCTTGATTTTATGTGCTTTTTAGTTTAGAGTTAGATTATTTGCAAGTACTTTTTAGTCATCTTTAATCATTGCTCTTGTAAATTTTCTGAGTGAATCCTCACATTCTGGTTAAGAACCACTGTTGTATTATGCAGCATGACATATCAGAACAAAAATGTGACAATGTAGCCAAAAGTTGTACATGATATAGGCTGACTCAAATTACAGAGGAAACTAAATAAATCCTTTTTATTTTCATCTGGAGGTAGAAGAAAATGAGATTTACTATCTTTAAAGGCTCAGTTTAAATACAGAATAAAGTTTCTTTAGGCTTACCCAAGCTGTGTGGTCAGTTTGATGCACTGATGGCATGCTTATGGGCATGTTGTTGCTGCCCTGCTCTTACTCAGCAAGACTGAGAAAAAACGGCAGGGCCTTGCTCATCATAGACCACATAATTGAATATTGATTGCAATTAATCATTTGAAGGACAGAGACAACTTCAAACATGGTGTGTGTGTGTGGAGGAACTGTAAAGCTAATTTAATGCAAGGCTGTGCTGAGTTCTTGAAGTGCATGCTAAAGTATTATATTAGCTGCTGTCACAATGACGGATAGCTTTAAAAATGAGGCCCTTGCTTACTGCACTCAGGGTTGTTGATGGGGTAAGGGTCAATGTGATTTACACACTATGAGAAATGCCATGCTGGGACTAATTGCACCTATGTACCTGTAGAGCAAAAAGAGAAAACAAATCAAATGGAAGAGGAACAAGATGAGTTTGGATGAAAAAAGGCCAAAGACTGATGAATGAATCTGCCATTTTTCTGCAATCTACTTCTGCATTAACAGACATTGAGACTCTGGCTGCTTGGTGACGGTGGGAATGAGGTAATGAGATTTTCAGGTCTGAAATGTACTGCATATCTCTATTTATTCCCTTTGGGACATGCCTGACTCCTGCTGCTGCCTTACCTAGTCATGCTTAACAGAAAGCACATACAAATCGAGTCTTAATAACAAAGGGCTATTGTATTGTAATGGGACAACAGCACTGTCTGCAGCTACACTTAAATAATGGGCAGAGATGACAGAGGGAGTTTGAAATGTAGAATTGGGAGAAAAGAAAAGAAACTGAAGAAAAAGAGGGGTGGTGTTTGCCGTTTCCATCTAGCTGTGGCTGTGAATTTTTGCTTGCCTGCACAAATTCCTCATTTACCAACATGCAATTATTTAAACCAAACTTGGTAAATAAAGCATGTATAACATCTGGAGTTATGAGTCTACATTAGCCATAATTACCAGCTAATAGAATCCCCTTCATCCAAATGGCTTCATTCTTGGAACTGCAATAATGCGTATGTAAGTGCTTTACTGACCTTATTCACTTTTAAATTATTATATAATTACAGTGAAATGCATAATTTCATCTTCTTACTCTGTGCTTGACTTATGAGTGTGGTCACTGGTGGTGTTATAAATGGTGGTATAAAATGTACATTATACCTGAGGTATCTAGACCAATACTATTCGAAATGTAATAAATCCGTAAAGACAACTTGTGTAATTTTTGTGCCATGAGCAGAGCCAAACGGAAGTGCAAAACATAATGACCAAAATCATTTTCAAACAGGTTATTCTGTGTGAATCACTGGAACATTTATTCTTTACAAACAGGTTCTTTCATGGGGTTTGTTATAATTTCTGGGTTAGATTGTGGAACATAATCCTCTCTCAGAAGTATGGTTTGAAAAGCTGTTTATATAACCACAGTACAAGCCAAAGTCATCTTTCCAAACATATTTCAGAACCTTCTAAGAAAAGTAAATGAGGCCAAAACTGTCTCACTACATGTAACCTTAATAAAGACATCATCGCCTGTTTTCCTTGTTTGGTTAGTAGAACATTTACTTAAAGTACCAGAGGTATGGATTAAGATGAAAAGTCAAAATCTACAGTATGAGCACAAGTGAAACTAAACTCAAAGATGATGGAAAAAAGGAATAGTATTTCCCCATAAACCAAAAATAAAGCATTATATTTCAGTCTTTAAAATTCCCACAGTCATCAATCTAGAGGTGTGTCATGAATGGTTTCCACACAAATTAGTCATCTAATCCGAAAGATTTTTCATTAAAACAACCACTGTGCTATTCTGTGTCACTGTAGCAAGAAGGACCAAACCTTATGTTCCCAGAACTCCCAGCAACACACTTATTAGCTCAAATTGTAGCAGTGCAACACAGCTTGTTTAAAATTTCCAGCCGAGTTTCTGGTTGTGGGGATCAAGATAGACTCTCAGCGGTTTGAAGCTTAGTGGCAGAGCTTTTATTTACAGAGCAGAGACTAATGGCCACAGCACGGCCTATCATTTTATTAGCGCAAGGAGGTCTGTCAGAAATATATTACTCACCACAGGGCTCTCTCAGGATAAAGACAGAGAGAGAGAGTTGTGCATCACATAAACAGTCCCACATTGGTGCAGAGAACAGAGCACCACAGGATCCTTGTGTATTTTTAGTGGAATCTTGTGCACTGTTTTATAAGTAAGGTAATTATGCTAATGACACTCTTAACCCTCATTTACCCAAGCATTGATATTCATGATGTAATATTCTTAACACCTCACTGAATAGGAGTACCTGAAGTGCATATTTAGAGGCCTACAGTGCAGCTGCACCTTGACCGCCATAGAAGTGTTCCCAGTAAATTAGACGAGTAAAACATGTATGTCCATCTCAGAACAGCAGTCTTACTTTCTATAAAGTTTCATTAGGCTATGTTGAAAACCTGTGAATTACTGAATGGGATCTTTTGTGTGAATAATATAAAAAATTGACCACTGAAATTCACTATTACATTGTATATTTGAGAAAACATTTGTATTATTTCACATTTATATTATACCAAATTAAAAAAAAATAGTAGTAGTAGATAAATAAATAAATTACAGGCCAAATGCTTGCTTTGAAGATTATAAAATTTGACCTAAAACAGACAGCAATGGTGTCAGTGCATTGACCATGCTATGTGACTTTGGCATGCAGAGATTTAAATTGTATATATTCCTGACAGAATTGTTACTATCATACATTTTTAGAGTCTGAGCTGCTGTTATATGTGGCTTTGTAGAATGTGATTTAGGGACACTTAAAGCTAGCAGCCTTTGGAGTTTCTGGAGCCCTGGGAATCCTCATTCATTATGACAGTGTTAAACAGTTCTGAGGCACGTTGCTAAATACCTCCTAACGCCTGCTGGAGCTCAGGGGGATACACATATGTACGCTCACACTGGAGACCTCAGGAAAGCAATGTTAGCTGAACATCTAATTCGTATTGAGGGGTGGAACTGTTAAGTTCCACAGGTTAGTATATGTGTGTGTGATCAGCATGGAGGGAGGCCAAGTTGTCTGAAGTAGAAACGGTGAAGGAGGATCGGCTAACTAGCCAGCCATTATTTTCCAATCAATAGTGAAAAAGAGCAAAAGACCAGTATACTGAAATCCCAATGTGTACGATTTGAGTCCATCTTAATTGTTTGTCTATTTTGAAACATTGCACTCTCTCTCTCTCTGGCTCGCTCATTTTCTTTCTCTCTATATGATTGATTACATGGATATTCCTTGTGTGCAGGGACTATTTGGAGATGCTGCAAAGGAAACGGGTATCGATCAGACATCTTAATGTGTGCACCTTTGTGTCGTAATCATTGCAAAGCCCACTTTAAATTCGGGGTGGGACAATAAATCGATGTGCCGATTTATCCAGCCGCAAGACATTATCGATACTCTGGCACCAAGTATCGATATTTTTAGTATTCTAAATTCATACCTACACTGTGGCTGTTTACCAATTTGGCTTACCGGAGCGGCAGTACCTCCAGACTTCTTGTGGTGGCTCTTCCCAGATTGTGGACGGTCAGATGAACAGAAATTGTAATTCACAACGAAGAAGAAATACGAGCATAATGGTAGACCAACAACAAATCAGAGATGCACCGACGTCTAAAGCCTATGTTCTACTTTTGCGTGCGCAATCCGGACACGTACACGGACAGCGCAGACGCGGACAACTTGTATTTATACTACCGAAAGTGTACGCTGGTGGTCCGCTCCGCAGATGTGTTCCATACATGCACAGTAGATCGGTTTGAACAGTAAACAAACAATTGCCCAGAGTTATTGCACATCTGTCTGTCTTTATATTGCTTTATCAACGGACTGTAGAAGTGCGGGTAGTAACGGACTTCTTCACACAGCCTGCGCATGCACAGTTGGTGCTTTTGTAGCCTACTGACGGCACGTAATTGTCTGCGCGGTCACAAAAAATGGGAGGCACACAGATGTCCGCAGAGAGCCTCCGCGTAAACCCTCCGATGACAATTTTTACGTCACGCATACCCTGGCGGACTCGCGCAAGCGGAAAGTATAACAGGCTTTGTGTTTATGGAAATGAGAACTAAAAAACTGCCCCGGAACAGCTATCAATCAGCGTGTACTGTAGGCATCGATCACGTTATCATTGCAGAGCGCATATTGAGTCCTTGAGTAGCCTAACCTCTCAGCTCGGCTCGCAGGTGGATATCCCTCACTATATGAGTGAGAGAGAGCGGCGCCAGCATGTCCAATTTTATGTCAACAAAACTGGATGCTCTCTCTCTCTCTCTCTCTCTTTTTAAATATTACAAGTGCACGTTATGCAGTGTGGGCAATGACCGGCAGAAACATAAATCTGCACCTACGGCATGGACGACGAAACAAAAACTTGTCAGAGCTGTAATGCAGCGCAGAAGTAAGCAGTGTGTGTGCTTGCCACACGCCTACATTTGAAATAACAAATCTCCTATATAAAGTTGATAAGCAGTTAAAGGGGTCATATGATGCTACATGCACTTTTACAAGTTGTTTGAACTGAAATGTGTGTTGGCAGTGTGTGTACACAACCACCCTATAATGATATATTATCCACCCCTTTCTCAAATCGATCTCAGATGCCTGTCTGTGTGACGTCATACAGACAGGCCCCTCCCACGATAGTTTGATTGACAGTAGCGTTTCAGCACAGACTGGACTGGTGTCTTACCTTAGACCCGCCCTGAGTGAGCTGTCATCAGTCCGCCATTGTTTCACCACTGGAGCAGATGTACACAAGAATGACTCCCAAGCGATTGAGGTGTTCTGATGTTGGATGTTATAATGAACATAGCAGTCGTCATTTACTTCCGACATCTGAGCCGCTGAACTGGCAGTGGATTACATTGTTTCTGAAGGGAATGCGCCCCCGATCTACATATATGCGTCTATGTTCGCGCGAATCATTCATGATCCAGCCTCATCTACAGAAGAAGTGAGTATAATGTTTTGTAATGAATCTTTGCAAATCGCCTTTCCTAGTAATGTGTTAATTAGCAAGCTCGGAAGAAAGGGGCGGGGTCAGCATAGCTCATTAACATTTAAAGGAAAATGCTACCAAATTGGCTTGATCTGAAAAGAGCTGTTTTTTGACAGGGTAAAAAAAAAAAGGTGTTTTTTACACTACTATTGAGAATTTTTACCAAACTATGTTACAGACTTTTCATTAAGACTCTAAATAATCATATCAACTTGTGGAAAATCATCATGGGTCATATGACGTTGCTAAAAAGAACATTATTTTGTGTATTTGGTGTAATGCAATGCGTTTATGTGGTTTAAGGTTAAAAAAACACATTGTTTTCCACATAATGTACAT